GATCATCGGTGTTCTAGGCTTTCGGAGTGTCCCCCATCTTATGCAAACTCGGAGTTGTATTCCATCTTTCCTTGTCTCAGCACTACATTCGCAGGCTTGCGAAGCGCATCTAGCACGGACATGCGAGCAGTGTTTTTGGTTTTTGAAGTGCTCACGAATCTATCTGCTACTCACGTGCTGCATGTGGGGAAGGGCCTCATGGGAAAAGTCGGATATAGTTGGCGAGTTGGGTGTACCCTGAGTGGGCATGGGCTCTACTGTCTCAATCTCGGCCATTTCTGCAAGATTTGGTGGAGTTTTGCTAACACAAAGCTGACCAGTGGACCCTGGCTGCCCAGCTTTTTGAAAGAGGTACCAGCCGAGCGAATGAGACCGCTGGTGGAGAAGGCCCCTTCGGTTTTGGCGGTGAAGGTTTTGGGGGTTTCCAAGCAGTCACGGCGGCGCGGATGTTCCATGCACGTATGTACACATATATGTATATAGACATTGGTTACATTGTATATAATGTTGCATATACATATACAGCTTACGGGCCAAGAAATGGATCATCGTTTTCTGACTATTTAGGTTTCGGGGTCCTCGTTGGCAAAGCATAAAACAGTCGATCGCGAGGCTGAACGAGGCCATGAGGTATCCAGTTTCATTGCATTCAGACTCCCAGATCGACTCGACCGTTCCAGCGTTTTGCGGCAGATTTCTGCAAATTGCTGCATGGGCCCTGAACTCCACCATATGCAAGCGAGAGGAGTCCATCTACAGCACAGGCCTCCGGCTCAGCTGCGTTATGATGTATTTTGATAGGAACTGGCAACATGTCAGTCTTGGTCGCACAACTTATAGTTTAAACCCTTAGTCCTCACTCTGAACCCCAAAGCCCTTAACCGTCGTAGGCCGTAGTAGTTGAAGCTCACACTACAGGGTTCGAGACGAAGTCATTTAATGTAGATGGCAAGGAGCACAGGTCTTCCAGCAGGCATCGCTTTGTCGGCACCCGTCTGTAATGAGCATACAAATCGAATGCTGCTTCTCGCAGCGGAGGTTTGAATGCCAGCACAGATTGGGGATAGCATTCGTGGACTTTTTGCTGTGTCTTCTTCGAGTTCGCCGGCTTCTAAGACAGTTGTCTTTGGCTGTTGGTTTTGGGTTCGTGAACTTAAAGTCGAAGCTTCATCCTTGACGGCTTACGCCTTTTTTCTGGTCGCCTCCAGCAACCAGGGTCTGCATGCAGCCAGTCAGTCATTGATGCACGTGTTCTCGGAGATCAGCTTGAAGTGCCAAGTACATAATTTAGGATTTTTGGTTTAGGGGTTCAGGGTTTAGGGGCAAGGAAATTGGAAACGTCAAAGTCAAACAGCCACCAGCAGCCTGATATCTCTCGCTCTCTCTCCGCCGGCCTAATGTAGGAACCTGACTTAGAAACCCCGGCCATATAACCCCAAAAGATTAAGATTCATACAAAGAACCCTAGTAAGGACCGAGGGTTTCTTAATCAGGCTCGTATATTACCGAGCAGAGTCCCTATGCTCCGGAAACTCAGGGGCTCCAAAAGCCCGGAAAGTGCAGAGCCGAGGTGAAAAGGTGGAGTATTTCAGCGTGAGTCAGGCCTGAACAGTGCCCTACCCCTCTGCCATAGGCCCCATAGTAGTTCCTTTTGGGGGTATTTAGAATCCTGTAAGGTAATCCCAAGAAGGAACTACCATGGGGCCTATGGGTATACCTTGATGGCAGATGGGGAGTTCAGCACATGCCTGCATGTGTTTGCGTAAGTAAGTTGATGTATGCGTATAGAACTGAGGAGACCTGTAGACAGACATATCTGTTTTTGTGACTTAAGTACGCACATGCTAGTGTAGAAGCATACGTTTATGTGTGCGTGTGTGCGCACGTCTTTGTTTTTTTGTCTGCTTCGTTGTTTGTTTTGTTTGTGTGTTTCTTTGTTTGTTTGTTTGTTTGTTTGTTTGTTTGTTTGTTTGTTTGTTTGCTTGCTTGCTTGCTTGCTTGTTTGTGTGTTTCTTTGTTGTTGTTTGTGTGCTTGTTCGCTTGGTTGTTGATTGTTTTATTCGTGTGTTTGTGTTGTTTGTTTGTGTGTGTGTGTGTGTGTTTGTTTGTTTGCTTGCTTGTTTGCTTGTTTGCTTGTTTGCTTGTGTGTTTGTTTGTTTGTTTGTTTGTTTGTTTGTTTGTTTGTGTGTTTGTGTGTGCTTGTTTGCTTGCTTGCTTGCTTGCTTGCTTGCTTGCTTGTTTGTTTGTTTGTTTGTTTGTTTGTTTGTGCGTGTGTGTTGTTTGCTTGTTTGCTTGTTTGCTTGCTTGTTTGTTCATTTTTTGTGTCTGTGTGCGTGTGTTGGTTTTTGTTGTTTGTGTTTGGGTCTACGTCCATGTTTGCTCGTGCATGCAGGTATGCACATCGATACATATATATGTATATGAATACACATAGAGAGACAGAAGAGAGAAAGAACGAGATACAGAGAGAGAGGGACAGAGAGAGAGAGAGAGAGAGAACGACGACGACGACGACGACGACGACGACGACGGGGAGGACGATGCAAGCTATGTTTTTGAGAGATCCGAAAGTTCGTGAAGTCTAGTCTAGTCAGGGGTGAGATCGTCGTAGATAATTACTATCGTGGTGGTCAGCATGGCAGGCGCCGCCTTTCTTCAGGAGTTTGTTCTGTTCACATCAGCCGGTAGCACTTTTCACCATTATTCTTAGTCTTTCAGGCGTTCCGAGCTGTCTACTCCTCGTAAGTGTCTTTGGCTCATGTCTCACCGCGAGAAAGTGGACTCCCATTTTTAATCAGATCCGCCCACGGCAGGGCAAGTGGATCCCGGCCAAAGTGCTGCCTCTTGCTTGCAGCAGTGGGCTTTGGGTTCGCTTCGCAGAGTTGTCGACACACCTCCACCGACTTTCAACACGGTTTCTGATTATGGGGCTTTCGGAAGATGAGGGGCCCAATTCGAGGGCCATAAGTCGCTGGTTTCAATGAGCTCCTGATCTATGGCCATCGTCGGCACCTTCATCACCACCATCCTGATCAGTTGATCAGTTTGTCACCATCGTCATCAACGCGATCATCATCATGATCATCGTCATGGTCATCGTTCTCCTCCTCCTGCTCCGCCTCCTTCTCCTTTTCCTCCGCCCCTTTCCTCCTCGTCCTCTTCATATTTTTTATTTACATTATCAACACCATCATCATCTTCTTCCTCGTGTCAATCGTCAAGATCACGGCCCTGGTTTGTGTCGTTGTTTTCCTTGGGGTGCGGTAGCAGCAACTCCAGCAATCAGGCAAGTCAAGGGCAGTGGACGGCTGGAGCTAGACTGCAAGTCCGACGTGCTGCCCCCAGAATTTCGGAAGAGAACCGAGACCGCTCTTGCCTCATGATCCTGCTTTAATCGCCAGTTTCTCGGGTGGGCGCCCGAGGTCATTGGACCATGGCGGACTTAGTGACCCCAACCTATGCTGAACCCTGCCCACCTCACCCCACAAATGCGCCGCCCTTCCTTCCTTCCTTCCTTCCTTCCTTCCTTCCTTCCTGAAAGCTCAACAATCTTCTCTTTCTTCACGTAAGAATCCAAGCCTGAACAAGGCAGTTGAAGTTCTCGACCGAACGACCCGACCTGCCGTTGTATTGGAGAGTGAAACTATACGAAATTTCACAGTTAGTTATAGCGTACATCCGTTGAATGGGTTCCAGTTTCTCCACATTTGAGCAATATGCCTCTACCTCCAGGTCTCCGACGAGTATGTCCGCAAGAAGCGTGCGCGCGGGGACTCGGCAGGGCCTTTTTGTGCTGTGAGAAAGGTCCAAGTCCCAGTGAAATAATGTAGGGACCTAAGCAATTACCTATACCATTTTGGGGGTTCCTTATTATAGTTATATATATATATATATATAGTATAGTGGGCCCCGAAACCCTATCCTAATTAGTAAGGCTCCTACATGAGTCGTGGGGATGGGTGACACGCAGCAATGTTCAACTACTTTGCTGCGCAAGGCCCGGTTCGTTTGAAGCCGGTCGCGGACTCAAACTTCGAGTTTGGTTTCTTCTGCTGACATGCCTTCCGGGTTTTACTGCACATGCTCGAAGTACATATGGGGCAGAGCTCTGTTACACAAGGAAGCCGGGTGCGCTTTAATTGGGCACTCCGATTCACAATTATGGTCTGCCCATGCCATGAATGATCTGTTCCCAAATTGCCACCAAGCTCGCCAGGTGCTCGTGTGGAGTACTACAGCGCTAGCCAGGCATGGAGACCCAGAGTATAAATAGCCTTGTTGCACAAGGCAACTTAAGCCCTGATTTCCAAGAGTTACATGCCTCTCTTCCTCCCCACCCACCTCTCTCCATGAAGTCGGTTGAGGCAGCATGCCCAGTTTCTGCGAAGCGGGTGATTCTTTGTGCATTCTTAGCTTCCCGTTGCCTTCACGTTTCGGCATCCAAGCGTTCGGCTCATGTTTAGCCACCATGTCCCAAGACCATGATGGGGGGCCTAGATAATTACCAATACATAGTTTTTCGGGGTTCCTTACTATAAATATAGTATAATGGGCCCCCCCCAAACCCTATATTTACTATCAAGGCCCCTATATTACAGGTTTTAAGGCCATAGTGCTTTGGGCCTCAGGGTGTTAGGCTGATTCTCTGTCTTGCTCAATAGGACCAAGCGGCAGGTGCTTCTTCAGGATTGTTTCAAGTGTTCTCCAGGGAGCAACTCTCTGTAACTCTTACACTAAACCCTAAACCCTCCACTCTGTGACTGCGGAACGGAAAAGAGGTTTCAAAACAAAAGAAACTCGGTGACTGCGTTGGAATCACTTCGCAACTGCCTGGAACCTGGGGCTTTGCCTCGAACCAGACACAGCGCCCCCAACCCCACCCCTCCCCCCGCCCCCCCGCCCTCCCCCTCACCACACAGTGTCTCCTGTTGGGAGGGCAACTGGATAGCGGCCAAGATCGTGCGTGGAGCTCAGAACCCCCAAGGAAGAAGACTTGAGTCATGGGACTTACGTTGCCAAGGGTTCTAGATATTGCTTCAGTGCTTCCGGCATGCTAGTCTTGGCCGTTTGTGTTTTCTGGGTATGATTTTTTTCAGCTTCGACGTTTTCGTGGCTGATGTGGAACAAACGCAGCATCCACAAGATCCCCCTCCCAAGAGCTTCGGGGTTTAAGGTCGTAATGTATCGTGATTGAGGTAAACCGAAGGATTCTGTGGTTAATAGACCGGTCCATGCAGCAGAGAGGCACTGAACTTGTTTGCAAGGCGCTCTTCGTGGTAGTTAACCGCATGCTACCCCCAGCAGCAGCCCAAAAGGTCGGTACAGACGGCAGGGGGCCCCTCGACATACGTCAGGCAAGGTTTTTTTTTGATATTGTATGCAAACCGTCAACACTCCGTCTGAGACAGATACGAACCTGCGACCACCAGGGCCTCCCCCTAAACCCTAGACTTTGTGATCCTTGCGGTTCCTTGGCGCTTGGCTCCACTTCGACTGAACCCGGAACAACCTAAGCCGACAGGACAATGCCAAAGCATGAAGGAATCAACCCTAACCCTCCAGGTACCTACTATATAGGGCCTTAGGGGCTCTAGTACCCAGAATAGTAGGTAACGGGGGGGTTAGGGCAAGACAGAAGCCTAAATGATGGGCGAACGTGTCTGAGTCCGTGGGCTGACAGGGATAATCAGTCGGATTTCAAGAACGAGGCTCCAATGTTACGGGGTGAAGCTTCAAGCTTGGACCCCAAGCCCTTAAGACTTAAGATACCGACCTCCAAGGAACCCTAGTGTAGGTATATTATACTGTAATTCCAATAAGGATAAGGCCCCTATATTAAACCACGAATGCCTGTCCCATTCCCACCGGCCCAAACTCCTTCGACGGCCCTCAGGGCCGTGAAGCCGGACGGCAAGTTCGACCTCGACTGCAAGGCTGATGCTCGAGCCTTGGAGTGTGGGGTTTAGGGTTTAGGGTTTAGGTGGTGTTCGGTGGATTTCGGATGTAATGTAAACCTCCTCGGAAGTATGGCAAGGGGCTCCGGAAAGAGTAAACCAACGCGTTGTCTTCGATGGTTGACCAGATGGACCCCGCAGATAGCTTTCAATATCTTTGGATGACATAAGGAAGAAGTGAATGCTGGCAGCAGTGAGAATAACAAGAGTGCTCCCCAGCAGCAACGTTGAGGCAGACTAGCAGCAGTATATTCTTAAACTAGCTAGTGATATATACGTGTCATTGCTGTCTGTGGGGTTTTGACTTGAGTTTTTATGTTCCGGGTTCTGCGGCTGTCGGTCGCTGCTCTAGTATGCGGGGTTGTGGCCGGCTGGACTCTAGGCACAGGGGTTGAGAAGGGTGGTGGCAGTGTCTTGAAATTCACCGCAGCTACTAGCTTGCATACGCCCACTGATCAACTTTAGGGTAAGGTGCTGATCGCTATACAACCCGTAAATCAAGCCAGCGCCAGTCGACATCCTGAGGCAGCCTTGGAGAACATCCGTCTGCCTGCGCTGCCTCCGGGATCGCGGCAGGTGTCGCGACCTCAGTTCGTCGATCTTGTCGGCTGGGCAAGCATGCTTGTTTGTGGCTTTGTTCGCGCCGCGCTGCAACCGAAAACAGGGGATCTCGAGGGGCTGTGCAGTACAGTGTGGCGGATAACAGGAGATGCCCTTGTCTTAGAAGAAGAGCCCTGTCGGAGGGGTCTTGAACGGAAGGTCGGAGGAACAGTTCGAGGCCGATGAGCGCGTGACTTGGACGCAAGACTCCAGACTCGATGGCTGGAACTTTTCCTGTCGGGTCCTCTTATATGTCTGCGGAGCCCTAGCACGCAGTGGTATCTGATGGTGTGCTAGAAAGGAGCCAGGTTGGGCATGTGGCAGACAACAGAGACGGGCTTCTAACGGCTTGTAGTTTGAACTCTTCAGCTCAACATGCCAAAGTCATATTGACTTCCCGCCGCAGCCAAAGAAATCAAAAGCTTCCATCTCACCACCTCAGATTCTGAACGCCTTCGGTGATGACCAGCTTCAACCTTTTGGGGACATCGCACGATGCACGCATCCCGTGTTGGTTGTTGCCATCATGCATACATCAGAAGCAGCTTCGATGCCTTCCCGGCCACAGCAAAAGGGATTCGCGCTTAAGGCTCGCCCTGTAAAACTTCAACCGTGAGAAGGTCGAGTACTTCGGTGTGAAGCTTCAGAGATGGATTCCTGCAAAGGCACCTGGGCGCAAGCAAAATCCTACAACTTTACTCTAGTGTGTGTATGACATATGATCGTGTCGGAAGCCCTGGATCAGAGCTATAGGCCCTAAGCGCTAAACCCTAGTTACTTGGTGAGTTCTACAGTTTAAGCCACCAAGTTTGCAAGTAAGCAATATCGACTTACTGCTATCATCGAGCCGGGCCGTCCTGAGAAGTACAGCCGAGCTTCCTGCTTCCCACCGATGACTGAGCTCTTCCAAGTTCGCTGCTATTCGGGGCAAGCTGGGAGGGCTGGACGTGTGAACTCAAGATTCCTGCATCTTACCGGGAATTCGAAGACTCGTTTCAGACTACCTGAGCAGTCACCTGACTTTGTCCTTCTTCTGCTTGCGACGGAGGAAGCCAACAGAATCTTTCCCAGCCGATTGAATTCCAGGCCCCAGCCAAACCGTGGCCCGTAAACTGTGTCTGGCAAGCCCATCCGCAATCCATACTCCCGAAAGCCTTCGCACCTCAGCCTCGCACTCCTCAGCCAGCCAACCCCCGAAGCCCGAAACCCCGAATCCCAAAACCCCTAAAACCCAAAGCCAGGGTCCCTAAACACCCATGAAGCAACAACAGAAAACCCCAGCCCTCCCCCTCCCAATGCCGAAGACTCACCGAGAGGTCCTCCGGCGGAATGACGACGGAACCTTCGATCTGGACTGCAAGCCCCAGGTTCCACGAGAGCGGCTGCGCAAGGCCCAGGCCTGCAGAGGATTGGACTCTAAGGGTTTAGGGTTTAGGGCTTAGGGTTAAGGTTTAGGGTTTAGGGAGTTTGTTGTTGCTTGTGCAGGGCTTTTTGTTGGGGGTTTTTGGCTCTGTTTGCAGGACCTCTGTGGGGTTGGGGTTCGCGGGTTTTCGGTTTGGGTTCGGGGGTTTCCGGGCGCGAGCGTCGAGGATCGCGGACGTGACGGTTCCGAGTGCCATGCGCTAATAACGGACAAGCCCGCTGGACCATGTTGGCAGCTCAACTTCTGTACCACTCTCTAGGCTGCAAGAGACACATCTCTTGCACCTCTCAAACCGCTAGTTATATCCTAGTTAAACTCTCAACCACCGAACCACCGAAGCTGAACATGACCATTCGGCTGGAGTTGGTCGGCACTGCCGTTTTGCCAGGCCGGGCGGGGCGAGACTCGCAGTGCTGCGAGCTCCGACTCCCGTACTGGTTCACCGCTGAGCTCCGGGCCCAGCAACGCCACGACTTAACGACTCGCTTTTCGTGTGTCGGCAGTTGAGTTCTGCATGAAGGGCTTTACAAACATGTCGGTTGCCAAGGGGTTTTGCAAGGGTTTCATCATTGCATGTGCACTAAAGTGAATCTGCCGGAGAGCCTGTTGTCTTTTGCCGCTATAGATTCGACAGATAGACAGAACGCGATCACATCAATGCATGGCAATATGGTCAGCTATCATGTTTCACAGACATGCACACATGCATACATGCCATGATATGCCATGCCAAGCCATGCCACTCCATATCACGTTATCCAGGGGCTCCAGCTGTTGGTTTAGTAGCCTGTTGCCTCGGAAAGCTTTGCTCATGAGAGGCACTGTACAATGTCCCCTCTACAAGGAAGGCGACAAGGCCTTCACTTGGGCCGAGCAGAGATCTTCCAGGAAGAGTGGAGTCTGCCTTGTTGAGGTTGGGAATCTCTCTGTAGCAGGAGTTTGAGTTTAGGGGTTTTGGAATGTCTTGAAAGCCAGCAGGAGCATGGCACCGACCTCTCGCAAGCGACAAAGGCTCCCTACGTTTACCCTGAAAGCGGAAAACAGTACAGGTGCCTGAATGATAGCGATCGCATACCTTGAGGCTCCCTGTTGAACGTATATGTAGTAGGAGATACCCCGAAACCCTATTGCAACAGTTAAGGCCCCTCACTTAAATTTCCTGGAAGGTGGAGTACTTCAGCAGCTCGCAGAGCAGGTTCTGCTGCTCATGACCACCATGGCCATGGCCAACAAAACCATGTAGCATAGTTTGCGGATGACTTTTGGATGCAATTGTACGACTTCCAACACGTCGTATAGGTGTGCCTGCACTGGTTACTTGTACGAGTAAGTGTATGTAAAACTAGTAATTAGTGTCCTGAAGCCACGCATGCTGGGGTTTCGGGCGACGGGGTCTAGTGCAGGGTGCCTTCAGTCGACTATATCTGAGGATTGTAAGTCTTCTCGGGTTCCGTGAAGCTTGAAGACTTCGGAGAGGGGGGCGGGAAGCGCGTAGCATCGCTTTCGATTTTGCAGCGACGGTTTGCTATAGACGAAGCCTCAACTTGCATAGTGGAAGAGACGTTCAGCTCGGAGCATCCTTCGTGGGAACTCCCCCTGCCAGGTGGATACCCGCACGAGTGCTTGGCACTACAGCCGAGGGCAACTTCAATCTGGACTGTAAGCTGGGAGCTCACGGCTTGGATCTCTTCCGGCAAAGAGCGCCTCTTGCATTCTTCCTTGAGGACTCGTTACGGTGACTTTGCATGTGAAGCTGCCATCCCCTGAGGGCCGACGTCGCTGCCAACAGGATTCGCCTCCCTGCGAAGCGCGAGGCACAGTACCAGGCATCGGACCTCGAAGCGGAAGAGACACGAGTTTTGGGGGAGCCTGCATGTGACTTAAATTTTGTTCTGTTGACAGGTGGACGACGCTGTCGAATACTTCGGAGCTTCCCGGGGGCAATGGATTCCCACAAAGGCGCGGGAACGTTTCCCATCGCATCGTCCCCCCTTCTTGTTCCAGGCCTCAGTATGGCAGTCATACGACGAGTTGTAGTGTAGGTAGCTTTCGCAGGGGCACCATTGAGTCAAAGCTTGGCCTTCAATCGTCCAGTATCCTCCAGTGTTCCAGTACAGCAAAGAGCTCTTTCATATTCTTTCCATGTGCGTCGAGCTTTCCATTAAAAAGGGGCGACAAACAACAACACTAACACAAAACAAGAAGCTCCGAAATCCCTACAAACCCCAAACTCATGAAGCCCTGAATCGTATGACGCAAATGAAGCTCGTAGAGGTGTCCAAAGTCAACGAGGATGGGACCTACGATCTGGCCTGTCGCAAGTCTGCAAGTACTGAACGGCTGTAGGATGCGAAGATAGGCAGCTGTCCTTGTGTCACCAGGGAATCCGAGGTTTAGGGGCGTGCTTGAGCAGATACAATGTGAGACTTCTACTTCCAGATGTTTCGAGCATGTGTGCGGCCATGCATCGGCTCAGGTGCTAAAGAGTCATGTTGAAGCTCTGTAAACCTCTGGCGTGATAGAAAGACAGGTGTAGGTGTCGGCGGTTTGCAGAGAAGAGTTCAACCACTAACTCTCAGGGACATTCCGGTACAGGAGCAAAATGAACAGCACGCAATGCGTTGCATTCGGGCGTCAGGAGTCATACAGTATTCTAACAATATACGATACTACTACTACTACTACTACTACTACTACTACTACTACTAGGGTATACTAAAATAATTTTATAATATACTGTGGTTTTCAAAAGGAAGCCTCAAAGGCCTAAAGCGTCACGAAACTCCAAGCAGCCCGGGCCTGGGAGCTCAGTCAGTGTTCAAGGTCCCAAATGGGAACTAGGGCCCCCCCCCCCCCCCAAAAAAAAAAATAGTACGGCACCGTTATAAAAAGGAGCCTAAAGGGTACCCCAACGTAGAGAATTTCCCAAATACTCTCCAATGGTTTTCCGGGATCGAACCATAGGCAAGCCGCGGGTCCTGGCGGAGAACATCCGACTGCCTGAGAAGTCCGAGGCACCCCACTTTCGTTTCCTTTCCGAAGTGGTACCTGTACTCGGCAGACATGTTCCTGGTAGATATGACTGACCAGTGACAAATGTAATTTTGTACGAATTGCTGTAGTCATGGCTATGTGATAGCCACGCCAACGTCTTCACCATTCATCATGTTCATCATCACAAGCAGAATCATCACCATCATCATAAGCGTCCGAATATCGTCATAACCGTCAATATGACCATCATGACAGCCAGTATCATTATCATCAGCCTTCTTTTTTCATGTTGTTAATCTTTTCCTAATCACAATATATATATATATACATATACATACATACATATATATATATATATATATTTATATTTAGATATATATATATATATACACGTGTGTGTCGTGAGCCGTCGCATCGCCGCAGCAATACACATCAGCACCGAGTTACGGAAGTATCGTATCAGTGTGCTGAGTAGCACTGAACGGTAGTGATAGTTGCGATAGAAGCATCACCAGTACTAGCACTGGCTGCAACAGCCGCGGCAGGAGTAGGAGGAGAGTAGCAAGGATAGTACTAGTAGTCGTCGTCGTCCTAGTAGTAGTAGTAGTAGT